TTTTCTACTTTAAATGCCTGATTGAATTTGAAGTCATTATCTGTCTAGTTTTCTCATTTGTAATATAAAAGAGATTGTATATACACCTTTCTAATGTGATTCAATGCACGGTTTATGTATACTGACAACCCATTTATAGTAGACGTATTTCTATTTCATAGGTAACTTTTCGCTGGATACAGAGGGTGTAAATGGAACATTCTTGAATAATTCTGTTCATACTGTCTTCGATTGTTACTTTAAATGCAAAGAATCTGAAAATTTAATAACTTTTGCATTAATGGTGAGCAATTTATTGTTATTTAATTGAATATTCCACGTTTTATCTATTCAGTTTTATAACAGAGTTTATTTATTCGATATACTCTTCCATTTTCAGGAAAAGAAGTGTTATTGTTTTCCCTCACTTCCCAGTAATGTCCAGAACAAAAGTTTACCGAGGGTCTCACATTACATTGTGAATTCTAGAAATCCATCAAACATAATGGGTAAGCATTATCCCAAAGTTAAGCAAACTCTACAATTGTAAGAAGATGTCCATTTTTGACGATTTCTGCTTTGATATAGTGGTACCACAGCACGACTTATCCTGTAAGACCTATCTAAAATAACATATATCATATACCTAGAAGTGTATCAGCCCTGATACAGGCGTTTTGGACTAGGTGAGATAACGTCTAGGAGGTAGGGCTGTCTTGCCCTCAGGGCTGAGATATCCCTATCTCAGCCCGTTATCAAGGGGCTGTCTCACTCTCAAATTTCCATCCATTATAAATAAATATCGTAAGCAAAACAAACAGTTACAGTACTACTATAAATCTCAGACCTGTTGTAAGTTGTAACGATTCGTTGAAGAAGTTGTAACCCCGGTTAGATCCATAGTGAAAGTAGAATATTTTAAAGTTTGGGACCTTTAAGATGTTTTTTATCTAATGTGCTTTGAAAGGACAAGGTATGGTAACGGCCGAATCTGGTCCCTTATTTGATGTAAAAATCAGAACACAGTTAAAATTGTGATAATTTATAGCTAAGAACTGAAAATGATGTTTGTTTTAAAACCACCACTAATTTTGCTTCAAAGCTTACACGGAGGCCACAAGAGGGTGCAGAAGTAGAACATTTTCCCGAATTTCCTCAATTTTCGTCGAATTTCTACAAATTTGAGACACTTTTCACTTCGAGAAACATAGAGCACAAGCTTGCCTATCTGAGATTTTCATACACAACATGCATCTGATACTAGTGTATAAATATATAAATTTGGTAGATAGGTAAGCTTTTGCTCTATATTTTCTGAACCAAAATGTGCTGAAAAATCGATGAAAATTTGCATAAAAATGAGAAAATGAGAAAATTTGGAAATTGACATATTTTCTGACCTTCCTGTGACCTCTGTGTATCCCCTAACTTAGAACCAATACTCATTTTGTGACAGGGGTGACAACAGGTTTTTAGTTGATTAACTATTTCATCATTCTAAAAGTCACACCAAACCAGGGGCCAAAAAGGGGTCTTAGCCTATCTTGTCCTTTAATGTTTCAAAACATCAGGACTATTCTTTTAATGACCAGACCAGGCAAATCTTTAGATGATTATTCACTTTCGTCAAGCAACATCTTCAGGAACATCAAAAATAAAGAAAGATAATTCTAATTTTTTTTTCCTACGACAAAATTTAATAAAAAATTTTTGATGGATATTTGTTCTATTCTGAATATTTGTTCTTTTATTGTCTATGGTTTTAGATATATTTAATATAAACAACATCACCCTAGCTACCGTTTTGATCTCGTCCCTGGTTTCAGCCCGAGCGGTTGGTATCGGCCGTCCGGGCTTGGGCCGATACCAATCGCTCACGCTATCCTTGACCTCCAAATGAAGCTTGCCATCCAGCTTACCTAGATCCTTGAACACATTTGCATGCTTCCCATTTATTTCATCTTTAATGTCAATCTGTGAAATGACGTCATTCTGAACTTGTGTCTCAGATATATCTCAAATTTATTAGTATGCACAGTAATCTACACTTATAAATTAATAAATTTTGCAAAAATTTTTTTTTTTTTTTTTAATTCATAGATTTTATTTGTGCTTTCACATATACAGACTATACAATATATTAGTTAACATTCAATACATACTTTCATTTCTACTGCCTGATACTTCATATTAAATATAATTTCTTTGTAGTAAATATATGTTGCATTTCAAAATCACATTAAAATTGTATATGACATATTGTACATTTTAATGAATATTCACTGTGAAAGCTTTATATACAGAGATAAAATTAAAGAAAGGAAAAAGGGGGTGAAAGGGTGCAAAAAAGTGAGGTGGGGGGAACAGTATTAAGTATTTTAACATACTTGTACATTTGTATATAAACTTGAGAAAAATAAATACATTATATCATATCACAAATAATTTTCCAATATTTTTCATATTCTGAAAATTTACAGTTTCTTAAAAGTATAACTTTTTCGACTAATATTCTATCCACAATATTTTTTTCTAGCATTGAGATGCTTAGTTTAGGCACATTTTTAAACCTACTAGCAAAAATAAATTGCTTAACAGTAAGTATTAATATATTGTGTAGTCTAAACATGTTTTTGTTGTTGAATTTGCCAAAAAGTATATCCTTTCTATCAAAATTAATGGTAAAATGAAACTTATTTATAAACCATTCCTCAATGTGACACCATATTTTTTTAACGCAGAAACACTCAAAAAATAAGTGTTCAATCGTTTCGACATCTTGTTTACAAAAGGAACATACAGGTGAATCAATTAGTTTGAGATTGTAAAGGTATTTATTTGTTGCAATAATCCTATGCAGAATTTGAAATTGCATCCACTGAAATTTTGCTTCTTTTGTTACTTTAAAAGGAAGTTCAAATATTTTATTCCAGTCTATATCGCCAAAAAATATTCCATTATTTTCCCATTTTTCTAGTGCCTTAATTGCTTCCTTTTTCTTCTTAAATGCGTGTCTACGAGAAAACCATGCAGAGTGTTATGAAAGCAAGTTTTTCAAAATTTCTTGAAACTCTGCATACGAAGTAAGATCAAGCTCACTTGCTTACTGCATAAGTTTGGTGACCTCATCTGATTTGTAACCATGGATACAGAGAGAATTAGTTTATCGTTGGCCTATAAATATACCCATCATAGAAAAATAACACCTTTTGTACATATTTTGTTTGTGTATGAAAATTCTCCGTAGTATCTTCAAAATTAATGGATTTAAGGAATTAAAACCTTTGAAAAAAAATATTTACCACATTTATTCCCTATACCTGTTTGAATGTGAAGAGATACGAGTGCAAAAAGGTCAAGATAATTATAAAGAATAACAATATTTGGATAGTCTGCAGAAAAACGGCTATAAAATTCCAAGAAACGCTTGAATTAATTTAATTTTTTCAAGAAGTAATTGTTTTTAGATATTTTATTTAGTATTAATGGGAATTTGGTTGCAAATTTAAATTAATGTAGTTTTTAGGCAAAAAAGTGCAAAGAGTTGCAAGTGCAAAAAGGTCACGGTAATTCTAAGGGATATAGTGTTTAAAAAATACTATAAAATTTCAAGAAACACTTCAATGATTACATTTTTTCTCAGAAAGTATTTATTTTCAGATATTTTATTAAAAGTAACCAGAAATTTGGCGGCAAATTTGAATTAATTGATTTTTCACCCTTGCAAGATTACATATTCTTGGGTTAAATGACATACTGGAGTGATTACATTTTGAACTTTACATCAATTAAGGCTCTTGCCTTTTAATCTCCCTGACTGAAATTAGTTTATATTTATCCAAAATGTCACACAGATGCATGATTTGAATATTTTCTAAAAATGATGGTAAGTTTAAAGCCAGGCCCATTTCAATAGGAATGTCCTGGCTCAATAGATATGGTGCTCATTTTACAGGATGTTGACCAAACATCTGTCAAAATGAAAATGCACATTGCAAAAAATGCAAATAAAAAATTGCAAGTTTACTAGAAAGAGTATTCAAAACTGAACACATCAGTAAAATCCACTTTTCCACAGTGTTTCCAAATTTCACAGAGTTCATCATGCCAAAAGTTTCCTAAACATGCACCATATTTGATACACATGCTGCAGTTCTGTTGTTTTTTTTTTGCTCATCAAAGTTTTTTTTTTCAGGTACTCTTTATCTGTTTTTCTTCTCAGTCATTTGGCTGGCTCCAAAAATGATCTAAAAACATTTTTTTAATGTCCCAGGGCACTGAATAGAATATATATCTTTTAAATATAAGCCATGTTAAATAAGTCTGTCAGCTGCAACTTCTTTGATTTTATATAAAAACTAATACAGAGGCAAGTGGGAAATTTTTAGCCTTTCAATGCACAAAATTATACAAATAATGAACAGAATTAAGTTGATCAATGTCTTTTATAATACCATAAATTTATAAAAACATAAGCAATATTTCATGACATATTTTACAATCCTCAATTAAGTTCCTTCACATGCATTTGAAAAGTACCAAACTTATTATGTCCATGTTACTTTACAAAAGACAGTAACATTATAAAAATATATAAGATGATCTCTAATTTAGAACTGTCATAAAATAAGCATTTGAAGCTACTGCACTGAAAGAATGGCAAAAGATGTGAAACACTAATTGGAGTCTGTAAGAAAATCAAGGGGTCCCAAAACTGAGTCGGAAAATACAATTTTTATTTTAAAACAGAGACTCAAGACTTAACATGAATAATGGATTTTCCTGAGGACAAAAACACAGAATAAAAAATTACACGTTTTATATATTAAATACATGCAACTTTGAACCGTACACACATTAATTCCTAGCTGTCAGTCTACATTATCACTTCTTGACAAATCAGATATAAATAACTTACATGAAAGTATGATATTCACAAATGATTGATTTGTATACTGACTAGCAGAAGTGAACTATTTGCGTGGATATAGTAATAGTTCATAAACTGAAACACACCATTTTTAAAATGTTAATTCGTTTACAGTGTTTGATAGTATACTCTGATGCTCATATGCCACCAAATCATTGATAACATTTTGAAGGTCTTCATCCTCTTCAAGATTTTCATCTCTTTTTATGTCATGGGATTTTCCAGATCTTTCAGCTTCTCTCTGCTTCTTCAGACATAAACTTCCAAAGAAACTTCTTATCTGTTGATGTGAAAGCCATTCCGCTGGCGAAAAAAGACAGTTCCCATCGACATCTGTCTCACATCTCATTTGTTTGGAGATTGTAAAAGGACTAGGCTTTTTTCCAGACTCTTCTCCATGATAATATAAAACTGATAAATAGTTCTTTACCTTTGGAGAGAAGCGGACTGCTTTTTTTCTCTTTTTTAATGCATATCCGGGGCATTCAGCAAAATATTTAGATTCAGAGAGTTCCACACTGTAGCAGGATGAAGGTTGATTCAGTTGCAGTTCCTGGCATTGGAAAGACCAAATTCGCATGCTCCTGTCTGTCAGGTTGTCCAAATTTTCATCATCATACACATGCTTACCGACAGCAAGATGCTGAATCAGTTGATTTTCTTTTTTAAAAACCCTAATACAATCTGGTTCAATACAAGGAAAATTGTCTCTGTTTGTGCTTCCTCTGGTATATGATGCTTTGAAATCTGGTCTTTTTGGGTCAGAAAAAACCTATGGAAAATATATGATGCATTTAATATACTATCATCATAACAATTTGCAGCAAAATCTTGAACAAAAATTATTGTCATTGAAAAATTCTACAAAGTAATTAAATTTATCTTACCAACTTTTCATCTGCTAATGACAGTTGCTCAGAAATCCTGGAAATATCTGATGCATTTATCAGCTCTCCTCCAATCCCATAAGCTTTGTAAGCCTTAAGTCCTTCATCTTCAAAGCTGAAATTGTTATACTTTGAGATCTGAAAATTTTTCAACTGTCCACAAAGTACTGGCTGTGTATCAATTTGTGATGTTGGGCTAACAATGGAAACATAGGTGTTTCTAACACCACCATGACTTTCAAGTGCTTCCTTCATTTGCAAAGTGTTTGTGATGTCATGGCCTTCATTGATGTAATTAAGCATGTGAAGCCTGCAAGATCCTGTTCGTGAGTCACACAAGTCTTTGCCAGATTGCGCTTCACTGAAATTATACTGCTTTACAACTAATGGCAATTCATTGCGGAATTTCCAGAGATAGGACAGCATTGGTAAGGAATGGTAACAACCCGCATTATCTGATCTGATGTATGCATCCTTTAGATGTGGATGGATGGACTTCAACACTTTGAAAGCATTGTTGAAAATTTGACTGACTAAGTGCCATCCTTGCTTTCCTTCTTCCACAAGATGCACTATGGAAATTATCTCAATGTTCTTTTGGTCTTCTTTGTCTTCTGTTGTTGACTGTGCCTGACAAAGAATGCCACAAATCATGTGCCAGCTGATACCCTGCTTGCCAAACCACTCGTTCTGTGTTTCACGGAAAGTTTGTGGCAAATACTTCATTGCCCAGTCAGCAATGATCATCACTTCATGTAGCTGTAGGTTCTGAATGATATTCTCTCTGCACAGATCCTGGTTCACTGTTCTAATTGAATGATCTCTCCAGGCCCATATCTTTTCTGTTGCCAACTCAAAATCATGGTTTGTTTCTTCTTTGTCTTGAGTGCTGATAAAAGTTGTATGTTTTATGAGATCACCAATTTCCAATTTCATATGATACATAGTTTCACATAACTGGCAGCTAGTATTATGCAAATGATCACATTCTTTTTCGGACAATGCAAACTGTGTACAGTGTTGAATGCAGTCACTGGAAGGGGAGATGTGACTTTTGAACTCATTCTTCAGATGTACCTTCAATGTTTCTAGCATTTTCTGGATTTCAGTAACTTTGCTCTCTGGAAGACCCTTCATAGCAAGAGTGGATATCAATTTGTTCAAAGTATCAATACCATCCATTCCATCACTGATGTAGTTATCCAACCCATGCAGAGACTTCAGTTGAGAGGCAGGGCATGCTTTGATGATTTTATAAAGGGTTGCTCTTGATGGAGGAAGGATTGAGTTTTCTTTGCAATAGGAATTATATGCTGTGATGAGTCGAGAAGCTATCATAGTTCGTATCACTTTTGGAATTTTTACACTTAGGCCTGATGATAATTTCAAGTGTCTTGATCCAAATCCAACAACTTGCAGGTAAGCTGGAGATGAAATAAACTGAATGAAGTGATGTATCTTCTCCTTTGGTATACGTACTCTTGTGATCTTTGGTGGCGTAATGTACTGCCCAGGTCCATGGGTTGCAGCATATTTTCTTGCAGCATCAATCTTGTACAGAGTTAACCCATCAACAAGAGACAAGAGTTCTGATTTGGTATACTGTCCAACAATTATTGATAAAATCTGCACTTTTGTAGTATGGTCCTCTGCCTTCATGTAAGCAGAAATAACTGCTTCGGTAACTGCATCACTTTGTTTTGGTTTTTCCTTTGGAATGCTGTCAAAAACTTGAAGCATCAACTCTGTACCTTGGCATGGTGCAATACTCTCACAAACAAGCTCAATTGCTAAACGTGCTTGGCGTATGTAAAACTTCCTTGTAGAGTACTGCAACTGGTCCAACTTCTGAGATACCTGGCACTTTAAAGGAGGGTAATCTCCACTTGATAGGATATCCATTGCATGGTTGAACAGTTCACGCTGAGATCTTTCATCTTTTGACCAATTAGATGCACTTGTTGACTGGGATGATATGAATTCAAAATCTGAAAAAATCAGTGACAGATTTATGTTTTTTTACAATTAAAGTTTATAAATAAGGGATATTGCAATATCTGAAGATGGCATTTTAATAAAGTTAATTTTCACCTATGCCCCTGTACAAAAGGACATATATTGTGATGTTTATGATGTCCTAAATGACATCCTGATCAATTTCAACATTATAACAAAAGGACCATGGGCCACAATGCTCACCTGAGTCACCTCCTTTTCCTATTACAGTCATACCCATTGTTTGACTGCTTGATGTCTTTATATTATTTGATACTCAGAAAACTTTAAATAGTGTTATTCAAAACTTTTTATAAGCTTATTGATAACATATTGATATAACAAGAAATTTGTTGCATATCTATGACTTTTTGTAAAAATATAGGTGAAAAGGTGAATATCTGGATTTTTGGTAACTTAAAAAATAGAAAATTGAGTTATTCTCCTTTTCAATATGTGAATAGAAATGATCAATACAGCAGTGTTTGACCCAATGTGGCGGTGCTTGAGAAACTATGGATTATTATTTTTTGGCCTTAATAGCATTAATCATGGCCAAGATAATGAGAGAAAGACTTTCAAAGATTTTTTCTGGTATATTCAGAGGAAAAAAATTTAATCCTCTTCTTAGGTCACAACTTACCCCTACGGGCATTGACTCAAAAAAGAAAAATATGTGAATCTACACCATTTAACAGACAGATGGATGTTGGGAACTCTTGTTCAGAAAAATTTATGTAAATTTTAGGCTCAGTAAGATAAACAAGAGGCCCATGGGCCACATCACTCACCTGAGCACATTGGCCAGGAAAAAGCACAAATCAGTTTAGTATTGAAAAGTTTACATGGAAGGGGGGGGGGGGGGGGAGGGAGACTTGAATTTTAAACTACCTGAGGATGCTTCAATATCAGTATAACAAAGGGCTTTCTATTCTTGAGCAGAAGATTTTTTTCTTGTATATTCCTTTGCAAAAATTTGATCCCCCGTTGTGGCCCCTCCCTGTCCCCAGGGGTCATCATTTGTACAAACTTGAATCTACACTTCTTGAGGATGCTTCCATATCAGCTAGACTAAACATGGCTTTTCTGTTCTTGAGAAGAAAATTTTTGCCTAAATATTCCCATGTAAGACTTTGATCCCCCATTGTGGCCCCTCCCTACCCCCAGGGGTCATCATTTGAACAAACTTGAATCTTCACTACCTGAGGATGCTTCCATATCAATAAGACTAAACAGGCTTTTCTGTTCATGAGAAGAAGATTTTCCTGTATATTCCTACGTAAAACTTTGATACCCCATTGTGGTCCCATCCTACCCCTGGGGTCATGATTTGAACAAACTTGAACCTACACTACCTGAGTATGCTCCTATATCAATATGACTAAACATGGCTTTGCTGTTCTTGAGAAGATTTTTTTCATATATTCTTTTGTAAAACTTTGATCCCCCATTGTGGCTCCACCCTACCCTGGGGTCATCATTTGAACGTACTTGAATCTACACTACCTGAGTATGCTACCATATCAATTAGACTAAACATGGCTTTGCTGATTCTTGAGAATAAGATTTTTAAAAAATTTTCCTATATATTCCTATGTAAAACTTTGATCCCCCATTGTGGCCCCACCCTACCCTCAGGGGTCATGATTTGAGCAATTTTGAATCTACGCTACCTGCTGATGCTTCCATATCAATATGACTGATCACAGCTTTGTTGTTCTTGAGAAGAAGATTTTTAAAAAAAAATTTCCTATGCATTCCTATGTAATAATTTGATCCTCTATTGTGGCCCCATCCTACCCCCGGGGGTCATGATTTGAACAAAATTGAATCTAAACTGTCTAGAAGGTTACACATAAGTTTCAACTTTTCTGGAGAAGAAGGTTTTTGAAAGATGACATCAAATTTTCACTAATTCTTAATTATCTCCCCTTGAAATGAAGCGTGTCCCTTTATTTTAACAAACTTGAATCCCCTTCACCCAAGGATGCTTTGTGGCAGGTTTGGTCAAAATTGGCCCAGTGGTTCTTGAGAAGAAGTCGAAAATGTGAAAAGTTTACAGACGGTCAGACAGACAGACAGCTAGACAGACGGACGGACGCCAGACAAAATGTGATCAGAAAAGCTCACTTGAGCTTTCAGCTCAGGTGAGCTGAAAAAAACAAACAATCGATTCGATACAATCAGGTTTGATTATAAAACATGACTGTAGGTTTAGTATGCCAATCAAGACACTTGATCTTATTTAGTAAATTAAGCCAATTTTGTATAGGGTAATACCTGAATCTGCAGCTTGTGACCCAAAGGAAACTTCAGACTCAAAATTTTGATCTATGTCTGCAGCATTTCCACTCACTGAAACAGAAAATATACACATGTATTAACAATTATTTAGACAATATAAAAATGGACCCAACTAGGTATCATTGAGATGGTACCCCTTCTCAATAAAGACCCACTTTTAGTAAACTAAAGGATATTAGGATGAAAGAGACATGTAAAGGGCCTAGTTGAAAGCACTATTCTGAACTAAGAAATGTTTCTGTTTCAGTCACAGTTAAGGAAAAGAAATCTATATTTGCATTTTTTTCCTTTTTTTGTGAGTCTTGACCTTTCACTTGATTCAAACATTGCATTCCCTTTAATCAAGGCCACTCTTTGAGTGCAGTATTAGCTACAATGGTCCAAGGGCAGAGAGTATATACATCAAGCATGGATTTTACACAAAGGTCTGCTTTGAGCTTGAGGTTTGACTATTTTACACAGAGTTCTGCTTTGTCCTTAAACTTTGACTTAGCTCAAGGTCACTTTACTGATAAGCATGTTTGGTTGAGTATATGATCCAGCTGGGACAATGGAAGAACAAATATGCTTACATTATCAAGGATTTTACACACTCAGGTATCTGCATTGACCTTAATCTATGACTTGCATGTACACGTTTAACCAAGGACACTCTTTAGCTAAAGTATTAGCCAGAAGAAGCCACGGGGAGACCAATTAGGCTCTCATGACAAGGATTTCATTCATACATCTGATATGACCTTGGACCTAAAATCTTTGCTCAAGGTCACTGCACATCCTTTTCCTTCCAGCATTATATGAGTGACATATGAGCCAGATATGCTGGAGGAGAGAAAATATGCTCCGGATAATGATAACTGATGGAAGGGTCTACAGACAAATGGACAAATAATGGATAACCTATTAAAAAATTATGCACTCGCAGAGTGGGGCATGAATAATTACTCAAGGTATTTAAATTTGTCAACAGTGAAACATTCAATTACATTTTTTTTGTAGCCATGGCTACAAAAGCATACACATATTTACAAGCAAAATTCACTCATTGAATCAATTTTCCTGGGTTAAAATGTTGCATTAAGTAATACCTTAAAGGTGCTTAGACACAGATTTGAACTTAATATTTTCTCAAATTTTCTGTATAATATCACGACTTATATATTGCAATAGCATTTCACACAAAAATATAATTAAAAACTTATTTTATCTGGAAATTATTGGAACTACGAATTCCGGGACGCGTTTGATTAACACATCTCTGCACTTACACAAATTTTAACTTTATCCTTAATATTTAAGAAAAGAAGCAATTTTGTTATGTATTAATGAAAAATATTACATCTTTAATCTAGAAAATTCAGAGTAGAAATGTTTGAAAGCAAAACCAACTCATCAGTATTGTCAGTCCATGCTCTGTGATGTGTACAGAGTTTAACAAATTGAATACACCCGTGAAACGTGAACTGTTTATGTAAACAGGGCACGAGCTCTGTTATTGTTAATGTTTACGATTCACCGGGTGTGTTCAATTGTTAAAGTCTGCACACACCACTGAGCACGGACTTACAATAATGTGAGTGGGTTTTGCTTTCGAACATTTCTACTCTGAATGTTCTGGGTTATAAGTTTTAATATTTTTCATTAATACACAACAAAATTGCCACTTTTCTTAAGTATTAAGAATAAAATAAAATATGTGAAAGCGCAAGGATGTGTCAATCCAACGCGTCCAGAAATTCGAAGTTTTAATAACTTCGAGATGAAATAAGATTTTTATTATATTTCAGTATGAAATGCTATGGAAACATATAAGTCATGAAATTATACAGAAAATTTGAGAAAATATTAACTTCAAATCTGTGTCCAAGCACCTTTAATATAATATGCTTTCCATAAAAGGTAGCTAGTGTACCCAACTTGTTTAAAAAATGTGTTTACATATAAACACACATATATATACCTGCCTTTGCCTGTACAAGTTATTTATAAAAAAATTGATATACTCTGGATAGATAATTACAATTTCTTTTGGAGAGGGGGTCAAGGTTAATGTTTTTTTTACCTATAGGTAATATATTTTCTGTTACTTCCATTTGCTCCACTCTTTGCTCTGTAAAATAATTAAAAAGGTCATGATGTATATACCCATATAGATAACAGCTAAAAATGCTTATGCTAAGCACAATGCTTCTGTTTTGAATGAATCATTTAAATAAAGCCCAAAACTGGAACTATATGGACTGGACTTATCAGTTTATAAGTCACATCCTCACCATTTTGACTTAACTTCATGTAAACTGTTCTTAGTGATTTTGTTTATCAAGATTTAACTGTATAATAACCATCATAATCATAATAACTTGTGTATACATTATACAATATTATAGTACATGCACAAACTCTGTTAATAATGTCATTTGATTTGCATGATCACAATGACCATGCACATGTATTTTATTCACTAGTGTGGAAATGATACATACATTGATACATGTATTTTAAATTCATTTTGAGATAAATTAAACATTGATTGTATCTATATATATCTATATCTATATCTATCTATCTATCTATCTATATATATATATATATATATATATATATATATATATATATATATATATATATATATATATATATATATATATATATATATATATATATATATATA